AATAATAGTAGTTCATTTACATTAGTAGCTCATCAAATTCTACTAAAAAGCGTATCAAATGAGATAAGTAAGCATTAGATATTGAGTAAAGTATATAAGAGTAAAGCATTTATAGGTTTAGGATTTAGGGTATAGGGTATAGGGTATAGGGTTTAGGGTTTAGGGTATAGGGTTTAGGGTTTAGGGTTTAGGGTTTAGGGTTTAGGGTTTCTGTAAATTATGAGTTTAAGCGTCGAACATTTTGCTTCCTTCATTTAACTTCCCTTGAATATACTTTTCTTTACGAGTTGGTTCTCACTATATATGTGTTTCAGGCTAAGAAATGGGTGTCAAGGGCTTCTAGGGTAAGATCATCAGTTTGGAGAGTGGGCGGAAAGCATCCTGGTATCTTACTCTGACTGTTCTTGTTCTTGCTCACTAATATCATTCTTATCTTTTCCCTTAATCTGGTTTCTATTTGTGTTCTATATAGGCTATATTGAAAAAGATTCAGAGGAACTTTTGGGCGAAGCATTGACCTTCTATTTGAGAGTGTTGAGACTTTGTAGGTACTCAGGTATATATATAACTTTATGTGCTATATATAAGTTCTTGTTTGCACACTTTTGTGGAGATGGTGTATGATATAACTTTAGTGCAACTTCTATCATGATGTGTGATTAATCCATTGTTTTTTAATTGATTGCATGTATCATCATATGCCTAGATACCCGTTCAAGGCTTTCTCATTAGGAGAAAGTCTTGAATAGTCCCCGGTTGGGACTGTTCTTGAACGTTTACTCTCACTTAGGCGGTGAATGTATGTCCTTTTTTTCGATTTTAAGGAACATCTTGTCTTACCATTTCCTCGATCACCATGTTCTCTGGGTACATATGTGGGTAAGTAATTACCTACGTCGTGTACTTGGAGAACTGGGGGGAAATGCTGCCGGATTTTCCTTAAAATTGGAAAGTCGACATACATTCACTAGTGAGAGTAAACGTTCAAGGATGGGTTAGGTTGGAGTGATAAGGGCCCTTTGGAAGCATATATGCATTTTTGTATCTATATGATTGTTATATGCATGTTGTGTGTTTGAATTCGATTTACTTATATAATAGATGGTAGCAATTATACATGATTCGTAATATATTGCCCTGTTTAGTGACAATTTACTTAATGGAGAAGGATCGTGGCTGGATGTATGGTAGACGTGATACATTGGAATTCTTTAATGGGGTTCAAGAGTTTTGCGCAAGGGCTTCATCTTATTAGCGCAGAATGGGTTTCGATTGCCTCTATTGTCCTTGTGTTGATTTTATTAATGTGAAGGTGGTCAATAGTGTTGATATCATTAGAGATCATGTAGTTTGTCGTGGATTTAGGCTTAAATACCATGTGTGGATTTGGCACGGTGAAGAAGGAGGGTACATTGGGGATGTTATTGGGAATGATGTGCATGATGATAGAAACAATGACATTTGTGTGGAAGAGGAATACAAGAATGATGAACATATTGTTGATACTGGTGCTGAGGATGGATTTGAGGATGATCATGTGGATGAGGTCGAGGATGAAGGGGTGGATGAGATGATGCGTGCTTTTGAAGGTGACGTGTTTGAGTCATTATCGGAGGCTTCTAAAAAGCCCTTGTATCCTGGGTGCAAAAAATACTCTAAACTATCCGCCGTGCTAACACTTTTTAACATTAAGTCAAAGCATGGGTGGACGGACAGTAGTTTTACTTCTTTGTTGAGCGTGTTAAGTGAGATGTTGCCTGACGGGAATGAAATTCCTAAGTCTTACTATTACGCTAAGAAGCTCATGTGTCCATTTGGTTTGGAGTATAAGAAGATACATGCATGTCCTAATGATTGTATTCTTTATCGAAATGAATATGAAAAATTGGAGGAGTGTCCACGATATAAGAAGTCGCACTACAAGCGCATGAGTTGCAATGCTGGTAAGCAGGGACCGCCTGCTAAGGTGTTGTGGTATCTTCCCATTATTCCAAGGTTTAAGCGTCTATTCTCAACACCAACAGACGCTAAAAACTTGAGGTGGCATGCAGAGGGAAGAAAGAATAACAGAATGCTGAAGCATCCAGACGACTCCCCGCAATGGAAGAACCTTGATATCAAGTTTGGAGAATTTGGTGATGAAGTTAGAAATTTAATGCTTGGTTTGTGCACGGACGGGATGAATCCATTTGGCACTCTCAGTACCCAGTATAGCACATGGCCGGTACTGTTAGTGATCTACAATTTGCCTCCTTGGTTGTGCATGAAACGGAAATACATAATGCTTTCTCTATTGATATCGGGGCCAAGGCAACCTGGAAACGACATAGATGTTTATCTTGCGCCCCTTGTTGATGATTTGAGAAAGATGTGGGACGAAGGGGTTTCTATTTTTGATGCTCATAAGAATGAGATGTTCACATTGCGTGCAGCTCTTATGTGGACCGTTAATGATTTTCTTGCGTATGACAACTTGTCCGGGTATAAGAACAAAGGGAAAAAAGCATGCCCCATTTGTATTGATGGTACGCCAAGCAGGCGCCTTGATCATTCTCACAAAGAGGTGTACTTGCGCACCCGAAGGTTACTCAGGCGCGATCACCCGTACCGTAGGCAGAAAAAGGCTTTCGATGGGACAGTGGAAGAGGGGACTGCTCCTAGGGTTGACTGGTGAAGAGGTTTACGCTCGAGTAAAGGGTGTACGAACAGTCTTTGGGAAATCAAAAAAAGCGGCGGAGTCAACTGCTCTCTTTAAAAAAGAATCAATCTTTTGGTTGCTCCCGTACGGGAAAGAACATGACGTTAGGCACTGTCTTGATGTAATGCATATAGAGAAGAATGGTTGTGATGTTCTTGTGGGAATGCTGATGAATATTCAAAGCAAGACAAAGGACGGAAAGGGTGCACGGGACGATTTGAAAAAGATGGGGGTTCGTCCAAAATTTTGGGTTCAGCAAAGGGTTAGTAAGGGAAAGGAACAGGAAAAGGAAAATGAATTGAGTTCGAAAACATAAAAAGGGGAAGAGCAAGGGAAAGGGAAAGGCCACGGATGCGTCGAAGAAGAAAAATGAGGGAAAAGCCAAGGAGGGCAAGGCCTATTTACCTCCGGCTTGCTACACATTGTCCAGGGTAGAAAAACGGATGTTTTGTGCATGTCTGTATGGCATTAAGGTTCCATCAGGGTACGCATCTAACATGAAGAGATTTGTATCCTTAAATGGAGAATTGAAGCTGACAAGTATGAAATCCCATGATTGTCATGTTCTGATGCAAGTTTTCCTACCAATTGCAATACGTGGTATTTTATCAAAGCACATGCGGGTAGCTATTACAAGCCTCTGTTCGTTTTTCAATACAATATGCAGCAAAGTGCTTGATCCTTGTACACTTGATGCTTTACAGGCGGATGTGGTTGTGACTTTGTGCAAATTTGAGATGTACTTCCCACCCTCGTTTTTCGACATAATGGTGCATTTGATTCTTCATTTGGTGCGTGAGATTAAGTTATGCGGTCCAGTGTTCATGCGGTGGTGCTATCCTTTTGAAAGACATATGGATACATTGCAAGATAAAGTCAGGAATCGGGCTCACCCGGAAGGAAGTATGATTCAAGGGACCGTGGCTGAGGAGGTCGGTAATTTTGTGGCCGACTATATAGCCGTTGCTAAACCTATTGGTATTCCTACTTCTCGACACGAAGGGAGACTTGATGGTCATGGCACAATCGGGTCGAAACGAATGTCGCCTGATCAAGATAAGTTCTTACAAGCGCACCTATATGTGTTGCACCATGTTGCAGATGTTCACCCATATTTAAACGAGCACATGGCTAGTTTGCGTGATGAATTTCCATCGAAAGGTGAACGGGCACTTATGCATTTGCATAATAAGAAGTTTGTGAGCTGGTTTCGTGATCGAGTGATGGGTGGAAAGTATGAGAGTGTCACAGATACAGTAAGATGGCTTGCTTATGGTCCTAGGGATGACGTTCGCTCATTTGAGGGATATGACATAAATGGGTACACATTTTGGACTGAGCATCAGGATTTGAAATCATCCTTGACCCAAAACAGTGGTGTAACTCTTGTGGCATCGTCAAGGGAGTTTGCAAGTGCTAAGGATAAATCACCTGTTGATGCAGAGTTGTCACACTACGGTCGAATTCAAGAAATATGGGAGCTTGATTATTGTGACTTCACGATTGCTCTTTTCCGGTGTAAGTGGGTTGATAATAACAGGCGTAACGTCAAACATGATGACTTTACTCTTGTAGATCTTGGCCACCTGAATGATAGTGCTGAACCATTCATCCTTGCATCTCAAGCCAAGCAAGTGTTTTACGTAAGTGATCCAGCCGACTCAAAATGGTCTATTGTGCTAGCCGGCAAAAGAAGAATCCTTGGCGTTGGAGATGTCGAGGATGAGGAAGAATATGATGCGTTTGATGACTCAGCACCTTTCACTGTTCCTAGACCTATTGTACCAAATGAGATAGACGACCAAGCCAATTACATGCGATCAGACCACGACGAAGGAATATTAGATTGAGGTACTATTTTTTGTTAGTTTGAAATTGTAGGCGTCGAACGTATTATTAAATCACATTTTTAGGTGAAAATGAATGAAATTGCTAACTTACTTGCCCATTTTTCTTATTTTCTTTTAAATGAATGAAGTAACTTAGTTCCCCATTTTCTATGTTAATTTGTATTATAATTCAGCAATTTATATTTTATTATAAATTTACCTTATAAATTTATTTATATTACAACTAATAACATGTTATGTTTGTAATGACAGGTTTTACATCTCATGGCGGATGATCACTACCGTATTGGAGTGGAGGATGATGATGATGATTCATCTGGGGTTGGGGACGAGTTGTATGATGTGAACAAGGAGCCTAATTTGGGTGAGGCAGAAGATCAGGCTCAAGATGTTTCGGATCGTATGCTTGATGAGTTTGAAATTGCAGCTGAACAAGCGCCTTCTATCGAGAATGCAATGTCTGAGTCGTTCGGCGAGGACCAAAGTGGAGGGGGGTGAAGGGACCAGCGCAGAAAAAGCTGAGGGGTCCGACTACAAGTTTCAAGAAACCTGTCGGTCCAATGGTCTTTGAGTATGACAGGGTAGGACAACCTACAGGCAAATGGCGTCGTCAGTATGCTGTTCAAGTTGGGATTTGTGCGCGTAAAATCCCCATTACTCTTCGTTTGAGCGACGTACCTATTGGCTTGATAGACACGTTTTGGAATGATACACGGGTAAGTGATTTGTTTCCACATTTGTAAATTCCTTCACTTTATTGTTATTTAATGGGAAAACTAATAATGACTGTTATTTGTGCTTGCAGAGTCTATTTAACATTCCAAATGAGTACGCCAAGCGAAGGGTGTTTGAATCCTTACTTGCGACAAGATTCAGAGGGTTCAAGACCACCTTAGTTCGTCGGTTTATCACAAAGAAGCTTGTGAGAAAACCAAAGAACAAGAAAGAAGGTGGCATGGATGAAGAAGTCATCGATGAAGAGAAACTCCCATGGCAAATATGGCCTAGTGTATCAAAGGAAGATTGGGATGCTTTCGTTCTTCAAAAAAGCAAAAAAGAAGCAATTGTAAGTTCAAGTAACTCTGATGACAATTGTAAAATATATTTAATATTTTGGTAGTTTTGAAACTAATATGTCTAAATATGTAGGAAATAAGAGAGCAGAATTCCAAGAATGCATTGCAGAAGCAATACTACCATCGTGTGAGGTGTATGACGTATGATGAATGGAGGGAGACGTGGGTGAGTGAGGGAGTATACCCCACTTCGCTACTAGGGTCCTCCACTATGCCCTCTGACTCCACGACCAGTACTTTGGTGAGTCGTGCTGGAGATTTCTTCTGTTCTTTGCATTCTCGTGACAAGAAAACCGGAAAATGGTCCATCAAGGCTCCGGAAACAAAAGAAATGGCAGATAAACTTGTAAGCAACTATGAATTGTGAACTGCATGAATCTGTTGTATATATATCACTTTACATAAACACTAACTTGATGTTGCCTTTTTGCTTTTGCTACAGCTTGAGTACACTGGAGAGCTTGTTGAAGGCAAGCTCATCCCAACAGTGGAGAAGGACCCTTTCACCTTGGCTTTAGGAAAGCCCTACCATCCAGGACGCGTATTGGGTGCGGGGGGAGCTTGCTAGGATGGGAGAAGGTGATGGGTCCAGAATATACCAAATCAGGGAGATCCCGGGCAAGTGTGAACTCACCGGTCAACTTGGATGCTACGGTGACATCAATTAAGGAACAAGTGCGCAACGAGATGCGAGAAGATTTCAATGCATGGGCAAAGCAAATGAACTTGCCGAGCTTGCCTTTCTCCTCGACTACAACGGTCGACTCTTGTAGTTACCCACGAAAACAAGGAGAAGATGAGATACATGCAGACGAGGAGGTACATGATTACGTGGTTTCTAATCTATAAGTATTTTGACTTGTTGAGTTATGTGGGTTCTAATTAGCCTCGCACTATCAATACATTGTTGTAGGTTGGTAATCCTGCACATGCGTACTTGAGGGAGCTTGAAAATCCAACACCACATGACTTTCCGGTTCTACAGGTGAGTTGTGTAGTTATTTCTTTGGATGGTGATATTGGTTCTTTGATTCAGCTGTGAATTTGTGAAGTTTGTTGTGTTGTGCGGTTTTTGCGTTATTTTGTGCTGTATGTTGTTGCGGTTGAGTTGCTAATGATGTGTTGCTATTGAACTACTGTTGGTGTTGTTGGAATTAAGGTACTCTTTGCGGAATTTCATTGATCATATCAATAAGCACCTAAACAGGATCTCTACTAACATACAAAAGAAACACATAAAAGTTATACCTTTGAAGCGTGAAATCCACTTGCTAACGGCTACAAGGAAGGAGATAAAGGACCTCAAATGTTGTCCCACTACTCGGTCCACGGGCAAGGATCAACACTCCACTACTGCTAGATAGTCGGATCAAACACCTTTGATCACCTTTACGGAGTATAGAAGATGACCGAAATCCCACACACACCTCACACACTCACGGCTAAGAGGAGAGAGAGGAATGGCGTAAGAAAGAGAGAAGGAGAGAAAGAGAAGCCTTGATCTATTTTTCTTATATTTTCTTAACTCTAGGCAACTCAATATGTATCATATATATATAGAGTTTAGGTTTAGGCAAAGCCCAAACCCCTTTCTTTCTCCCCTTTGGCCGGCCATCATAGAGGAAGTCCAACAATTGGGCTTCTTCTTATATTGATCCATAACCACATAGTGTGACCTAATAGGATCCATTCAATTGGGCTTTGGTCCGTTTTACCGGCCCAAAGTTCACTTATCACGTCTAGCAACTTCAAGTGACGACCCTAAAGAACGAACTTATTATCTCCATAATACGATCCATTTATATATCTAGTAATTGCACAGATTGGTGAGGACACAATTCCTTCAATCTCCCACTTGTCTGAGACAAGCGTGCAATCTACAAATTCCCTAAGTCTGTTGTGTCTGATTTGATAATATGACTGCATCAAATGTCGAGATCATATTCCCTTCAAATCATTTACTTGAACTATGAGTTTGAATTGACAAAACGAATGATTATCAAATAATCCATTCGAGCACGGCCATGCATTTCTTCAATTCTCCCTCTTCAAGGGGCCATGACACAATTTCTGTCAGAACAGAGTGACTTATTCAATCTTGTGACAACCAAAGCTCCCACTCAACAATTAGATGAACCACAAGTATCCTGTATAGCCCCTTTTTACAGAGAGCGTTGAGATACAAGCACATCCCTCTAATTAATCAAGAGAAAACAGTGTTCCACTCATGTCTAAGGAATCCACTAATATATCCGGAAGTTTATAACCAAACTTCAAGGTAGGTCATGATTCGATCATGTATCATACATACATATCCATGTGATTGACTGAGCATCTAATGCCCCTATAGCCCATGAAACTGCGCTATCCAATCAATCTTACATGCTAGTCTTATTTAGAAAAGTCATTTATGTCCAAGTTAATGACTTCGGACTAGGAATCAGCGAATAACTTATGAAACCGGTTCACAATGGGGTTTCACTTTATCAGGTCATCAACCTGATAAGCCCATCTTGTATCACAGTTATTCTGGACATTTTATTTAATATTAAAACCATCATTAAATAAGAAGAAATTTCAATTTCCATTAAACATAAAACCGCAAGTCAATGTTTTTATAATTGTAAAAGTTTCAACTAAACTATTACAATTCTAAATCCATTCTAGCACTTGCTTCAGCCCAGAAGCTCTAGTGTGTCCTTCGTGCTTCGGCTGGGCCAAAGGTTTGGTGAGAGGATCAGCAAGATTCTCATCGGTATGAACTTTGCAGATTTTGACATCATTCCTGTCAACAATCTCTCGTATGAGATGATACTTTCTCATTACGTGTTTGGATTTCTGATGTGACCTAGGTTCCTTTGACTGCGCTATGGCACCATTGTTATCACAATATAACTCAATGCCACTCAAAACACTAGGCACAACCCCGAGTTCTGTAAGGAACTTCTTAATCCAAACTCCCTCCTTAGCTGCTTCACATGCAGCAAGGTATTCTGATTCTGTCGTAGAGTCTGCAACAGTCCCTTGCTTTGAACTCTTCCAGCTGACTGCTCCTCCATTCAGACAAAAGATGTATCCTGACTGAGAGCGATAATCATCTCTGTCTGTTTGGAAGCTTGCATCCGTATAGCCTGTGACAACCAACTCATTTTCTCCACCATACACCAAAGACATTCCTTTAGTCCTTCTCAAGTACTTAAGGATGTTCTTGGCGGCTTGCCAGTGTGCTTCACCTGGATTAGCCTGAAACCTGCTGCACATACTCAGAGCATATGCAACATCTGGCCTAGTACATATCATGGCATACATAATAGAGCCTATTGCCGAAGCGTAAGGTGTTCTATTCATTCGCGTTTGCTCATCAGCATTTTTAGGACACTGAGTCTTGCTAAGCGATATGCCAATAGACATGGGAATGAAACCTCTCTTGGAGTTTTCCATATCGAACCTGTTCAGGACCTTATCAACATAAGTCTCCTGTGACAGTCCAATCATTCTTCGAGACCTATCTCGATGAATCTTAATTCCCAACATGTATTCAGCCTCTCCTAAGTCTTTCATGGAAAAACAACTCTGTAACCATTCCTTGACTGACTCAAGCATTGGTACATCGTTACCCATGAGAAGTATGTCGTCTACATACAAGACTAAGAAGACTAAGCTGCTCCCACTAACCTTCTTGTAAACACAAGATTCCTCTTCGCTTTTGAGAAAACCAAACTGTTTGATTGCCTCATCAAATCGAAGATTCCAGCTCCGAGATGCCTGCTTCAATCCATAGATGGATTTTAGAAGCTTGCATACCCTATTAGGATTCTCTGGATCCTCAAAACCTTCTGGTTGTGTCATGTACACATCCTCCGTCAAGAACCCATTCAAGAAGGCGGTTTTTACATCCATTTGCCATATTTCATAGTCATAATATGCGGCAATTGCTAATAGGATCCGAATCGACTTAAGCATTGCCACTGGAGAAAAGGTTTCATCATAGTCAATACCATGAATTTGTCTGAACCCTTTAGCAACCAGTCTTGCTTTATAGACGTCTGCATCACCGTCTTTGTCTGTTTTAATTTTGAACACCCATTTACAACCAATAGGTCTAACCCGATCGGGTAAATCTACCAGGGTCCAAACTGTATTGTCAGACATTGACTGCATTTCGGATTTCATGGCTCCAAGCCATTTCTCAGAATCTGGGCTCGCCAAAGCTTGCTTATAAGTTGTAGGCTCTGAGTTTTCTATAAGAAAAATCTCAGAATTATCTGTCAGCATCACGTTAACAACTTGTTTGTTTCTGATTCTGATAGACCTACGCGGGTTCTGAGCAACAGTAGAAATGTTCTCTTCAACACTTTGAAGATTTTCGCATGAATTAGATTCATGTGGGACGGTAGATGCCTCGTCGTTTGATTTGGCCTGCATCAACACAGACTCACTAGGGTCTTGTGTTTCCGCCTCTGTTGTGGTGTTATCCACAACCGTTTGTTGCTCATCTCGAATCTCTTCGAGATGTATTTTACTCCCACTTGACTTTCTGGATAGGAATTCCTTTTCTAGAAAGACACCATCGCGAGCAACAAACACTTTGTTCTCTTCGCGATTGTAAAAGTAATAACCCTTAGTTTCTTTTGGGTATCCCACAAAGAAACACTTATCTGATTTGGGTGCTAATTTGTCTGATAGTAAACGTTTTACATAGACCTCGCAACCCCAAATCCTTAGAAAAGATAAAATTGGAACTTTTCCAGTCCATATCTCATATGGGGTCTTTTCTACTGCTTTGGACGGGCATTTGTTTAGTGTGTGTGCAGCTGTTTCGAGAGCGTAACCCCAGAATGATAAAGGTAAATCAGTGAAACTCATCATAGATCGAACCATATCCAATAGTGTTCGATTTCTCCTTTCAGATACACCATTCAACTGTGGCGTGCCTGGAGGAGTCAACTGTGAAAGAATTCCACAATTCCTAAGATGATCATCGAATTCTTGACTCAAATACTCGCCACCACGATCAGATCGTAATGCTTTAATTGTCTTGCCAAGTTGATTCTGAACTTCATTCTGAAATTCTTTGAACTTTTCAAAGGATTCCGACTTATGCCTCATTAAGTAGACATATCCATATCTACTGAAATCATCAATGAAAGTAATGAAGTAACTAAAACCACCACGAGCCTTTGAACTCATTGGTCCACAAACA